ATATCAATGACACTCACACACCCATCGCAGACTCCTGTGAGGGCCGTCCTTCTCGAAGCCTGTGACCCAGTCTGCTCACAAGAAAAAGAGGCACATCTTAACCAGGAGGTTCTTCTGCAGAATAACCAATGAGTGATCCCCAAAACCGTCAGGGTCACCTAGAACAGGGACGTTCTGAGAATCTGCCAAGGCCAGTAAGAGTTGTCTCCGGAGACAGGCTGGCTGGGTGCACAGTGCTATTCTGGCCAGGATACAGAGAGAGGGCTTTAGAAAGAAACTGGAAATCTGAACCAAGTTCTGATTCCAGTTAATGGTGATGCACTGATACTGGTTCATTGATTAGGGCAAATGTTCTATTGAAAACTCAATAGTCTCTCAAAATAGCCGTAAACCTAAAATTGTTTTTTTTTTGGGAGGGGATATTTTTTTAAAGTTTTTTTTTTGCATATGAGTGCTATATTTGCATAAATGCCTGCATGACAGAAGAAGGCATCAGATTCCATTATAAAAGGTTGTGAGAGGGGGCTGGAGAGATGGCTCAGAGGTTAAGAGCATTGCCTGCTCTTCCAAAGGTCCTGAGTTCAATTCCCAGCAACCACATGGTGGCTCACAACCATTTGTAATGGAGTCTGGTGCCCTCTTCTGGCCTGTAGGCATATACACAGAAAGAATATTGTATACATAACAAATAAATATTTAAAAAAAATAAAAAATAAAAGGTTGTGAGACACCATGTGGTTGCCAGGAATTGAACTCAGAACCTCTGGAAGAGCAGCCAGTGCTCTTAACCACTGAGTCATCTCCTGCCCCACCCCACCCCCCCAATTGCTTTTAGATACTTTTTGAGCCCGACATGTATCCTAGGCTGGCCTTGCACTCGCTAGGTGTCAAAGGGTGATCCTGAACCTCTGGCCCTCTCTACCTCCTCAGCACGGGGATTACAGGTATGGAGCACCGGTCGTCATTTATGTGGTGCTGAGGATGGAACCCAGACAGCCCATCGTGCACGTTAGGCAGGCACTTTCATCCACACTACATCTTCAGCCTCAAAAATACTTTTAAACCACCAACATTTCAAAACAAATAACAACAGTTATGTGGAGAGATGGCAAGACTTAAGTACTAACTCTGAAAACATAGATTCCAAAACTGCCAGAGGTGTCAGCATCTCCCGACTGTTCCCCAGTGCTGGACAGACTCTGGGCAGGGATTCCTGCCTCCTAAGCAGGGGGTTTTCCAAAGCTGTTCTGAGAAGTCAGCTAAAAAGGGGGAGGGGAATAGAAAAGTGTCAGTAGACACTTCCTTATAGCGATTGTGACAAATTCCCCAAAACTGCTCAAAGTTAGGGAAAAACTTTTTTTTGTCTGCGGGAAAGCTAAGCTGCCTTCTAAGGGAGTCACAGTTGGTTGGTGGACTGAAACTGATGTGCAGACATATTGCAAAATGTAATTACTGCTCCACTTACTGTCATTTAAAAGTATGAGATCCCAGAGTTGCGCTTCCTTATCCAGTGGATGCCTGATGCCACGCACAGTACTGAACCTTAAATATATTATTTTCTTCTCTACACACACCTATGATAAAGGTTACAGATGAGAGCAGCAAGAAAGTAACAATGAGAATAAACTGCAACAAAAGTCGTTGAATCTGGCTTTTGTCTCTAGGTATCTTTAAAAAGTGAATTATAGGAGCTGGAGAGATGGCTCAGTGGTTAAGAGCACTGGCTGCTCTTCCAGAGGACCCAGGTCCAATTCCCAGCACCCACATGGCAGCTCACAACTGCCTATAACTCCAGGATCTATGCTACCCTCACATGACACACATGCAGGTAAAACACTGATGCACATAAAAATAATAAATAAATCTAACATCATTAGCGTGGGGAGAACCACCTGCAGCGGTCAGAGGCCAACAGGAGGCAGTTCTCTCCTCCTCCCACGTGAGTGCCAAGGCTCACACTCAGGTTGTGGTGACGTAAGCATGGTGGTGAGGTGGGTGTGTGGTGCAGGAGCAGAGGGTAAAGGTGGGTGGGAATCCGTGACCACTGAGAACATTTTTCTTTTCTTTTGTGGTTTTCACGTGCAGCCCTGGCTGTCCTGGAACTCGCTCTGTAGGCTGAAATTGAACTCAGAGATCCACCTGCTTCTGCCTCCCGAGTGCTGGGATTAAAGGCGTGCGCCAGCACTGCCCAGCATTTTTTTTTTTTTAAATAAGCCCTGTATCCACCCTAGCTGGAAAAGGAGATAATCCATTTGTTTGTGACAGAGTGTCTCTATGCAGCCTTGGCTAGCCTGGAGTTCGCCAATGTAGACCTCCATGAACGCAGAGAGCTCACCTGACTCTACTTCCCTAGTGCTAGGATTAAAAACACATGCCAGCACACCCGGTGAAAGGGAGGGTCTCACGCTGGGAGAAGAGAAGGATGAAGCTATGGTGCCATCACCAAGAGAAACTTGTCCAGAAAGAGGTTTCACAGTTTTTACAAAGTATCAGACCACCTTGCAGGGCAGACTGGAGCAAGGACAGTGGTGGACTAGGGATAGAAGGGACCAACTCCTGACCAAGGTTGCTTAGCTATGCACACCTCGGCCGCGCTATCTAAACCTTAGCATCATGTCAGTACTTCAGGGAGGCACTTGGAAGTCAGAGGATTCTTTTACTTGTTCCTTTTCCCAATGTGTGAGCACCGAATAATCTCCTCTTACTGCTTTTCGCTGTTAGTTGTCTCATAAATTGAAGACCAGTGGCCAAGTCTACCTTGTCGACACTGACAGAGCCCAGACTTTGACCCTTAAAACCTCACTTAATAAAAACATTTCAGAAAGACCATTGCAATTGCCAGACATGGTGGCACATGCCTTTTGTCCCAACACTAGGGAGACAGGCAGATCTCTGTGAGTTCAAAACCAGTCTGGTCTACATAGTGAATTCTGAGCCAGGCAGTGAACCCTGTCTAAAAATAAGCAAATATGCTTCACGGCATATCAATTAGAAGTTGTCCATTAATTCATCATGTTTGCAGGGGCCACCGTCCTTAAGTGATCACATGGATGACTTCAATGTTTTGTTCCATCCAAGGATTAGAATCCATAATCTTATTCTTTGAGGCATGTAGAATTTGAAACCACACTGTTAGCTGTCTCATTGTCATCTTCCATCACAGAAAAGCAACATCTTCTATGCTTGTTGGCATGTCGCAATGGCTTTCAGTGTGTTCTTCTGCTTCCATGGAGTATGTGGCAGGAGCTTCATTGGCAGCTACAGCCTCTATGGAGAGCTTTTCAGAACAAACCGCTCCTAAGCCGATGTAGCCAATCCTTACTCGCAGGCCAATGGCTCTGTGTTCTTGTTTCAGGGCATGGCCGGCTGACACACAACATTCTTGTCCATGTTGTCTACTCACAGATGCAACGGCCTCGCTACACTAAGTAAACACTAACTGGGCACTGCGGCTGTAACCTTGGCAACAGAGGGACAAAAGCAAAACTAACACTTATTTATTTAGATTTCAGAGACGTTTTCATGTAGCCAAGATTGGGAGTACAGGAGCTCCACCACACAGGTCTTCCGGTGCCATGGATAAAACTCAAGGCTTCCTGCTCGCTGGGTCAGCACGCCCCCAACTAAGCTACACACCAGCCCTGATTTGGAATATTTTAAAGACCTATTTTTAACTAGGAGTAGCTGCCTGTGTCTGCCTGTACTGTGCACAAACCTCAAGCGTCCAGAAGCACTGGACACTATGGAGCTGGTTGGCAGCTGCCTGCCGTGAGGGCAGGAAACTGAAGTCCAGGCCTCTGGGAGAGCGGCAAGAGCTCTTCCTCACTGAGCTGTCTCCAGCCCTAATTTGCTTGTTTTTACATGCGGTCTGACATTAGGGCCCAGGCTGACTTCAAACTCACTATCCTACCTCAAGTCTCAAATGTTGGGAGTGGATGGTACAACACCACAGTCAGCACCAATGTTTCTCCTTCATAATTTCAGATACAGGACTTGTTCTTGTAGGGCAGTGGTGGCGCACACCTTTGACCCCCAGCGCTTGGGAGGCTGAGACAGGTGGATCTCTGAGTTCAAGGCCAGCCTGGTCTACAGAGTGAGTTCCAGGACAGCCAGAGCTACAGAGAAACCCTGTGTCGAAAAGCAAACAAAAACTAACAGCAACAAAAGATTTGTCCTTACCAAAGGTTTTAGCAACTTTAGCCTAAGGATTTATTTTATTTTGTTGATTTCAAGCACATTTTTACCTAAGAGTAGCACTTTTTGGCTTCACTTTGGCAAAACGCAAAGGCTAGCATTACTCCCCTGGTGCTGATTACATAGGGTTCCTTGAGCAGTCAGCTGTTCTAAATGACTTAATGAGTGGGTAGCACACATAACAGGGATCCGCTGAGCAAGATGACGTACGTCCCGAGCAGGAAGGGGTGCAAATTTCGTCACGCTACTCTTGGGGGGGGGCAGAGAAGTACTGGGGGATTGAACGTGAGGTGAGGCTCAAACACGCTGAGGCTATCTATCAGAGTTCTTCAGCACGCTTCTCAAAACCACACAGTTTAAAAGCCCCGGGCTGCTTGTTTCTGTGGTCTTCCGCTTACTATTTTCAGGTTCCGGGGAACTGAAACCGCGGACACGTGGGAGGCCACCGCATCACCTTCCCTTTCTCTAACAGCTTTCTCTCAAGCACGTCCTGTGCACCTAAGCACTTTCACAGGTATGCTCTCTCCGGCCTCTGCACAGGCCTACGGCCCCCCTGCGGAGGAGGAAACCGAGAAGGGAAACAGCGAGATGCCATGCCCGGGCTCCACCTGGCGGAGGGCAGGCTGGGCCCTGGCCTTGCAGAACCGGAGCTCTGGCCCAGGCGAGGGACCCCGGCTCCCCGGGAGGCAGACGGTCCAATGCAAGGAACTTCCTTCCGCGGCCCGGGGAGCCGCTACGACTCGCGGCTCCGCCCCGATCCCGCCCGCCGGGAAGTCCAGCCGGGCCACCGGCACCTGAATACTTACCTCCAGTACCACAGCTCCGCTGCACCGGAAGTGTTTCCTTGTGACCCGGGAGCGGTGCAACCGAAGCACCAGCAGGTTCCGCTCTGCTGGATTTACGGGGACTACGACTTCCCCGCCCTCCTCCTCCTCTTCTTGTTCCCTAAATTCACACTGAAGGGTGAAGCCTTAATGAATTTTTTGTTTGATTTGAGACAGGGGCTCACAGTCTAACCCTGACTGTCCTCCTGCCTGATTACAGACTGTCTCCACACTGTTTAGAACTCAGTTCTAAGTCTGAGCTAGAAACCAACAATAAAAGAGGACAAACAGATCCACGTGCTATAATCCAGACAAAAAGAAATAATAAATTTAAAAGCAGCCACTGAACATCTCTGCTCCTATGAAACCAAGTGAAAGAGTGAAATTAAGTAATGGGTACGGAATCCATAATGCCGTAAGTGTTCGAAAGGTAAATAACAGCATTGGAATAAGTGAGACAGGTCAGCGGGGGTTGGCGCGGTGGGGGCAGTGATGTTATCGGTGCCTGATAGCCATGCCTTTTATAGTCTACACTGAATGGGCTGCGGAGTGTGATCCACAGGATATTGGGGAAATACAGAGCTTGAGTTCCAAGATTAAGTCAGAAAAACACTGGGACTTCCTCTTTGTCTTTCTCTTGCTTGCTCATGGGAAATCCCACATAGTGAGGTTCACATGGGCAGTTACCAAGCCTCCTATCAACATCACTCAGCATGGCAGCCAAATGGATAAACTATCTCCAGAGCATCCTCCAGTCCCAGGGCAGCTGACTGCGGCCCTGACCCTGAAATCTTTTAACTGTGTGGGGGGTGTGTAGGTGTTGGTGTGGGTGGGTGGGCATGGGTGTGGCATATACACACATAAGTACGTATGCATGCTGAGACCGGAGGCGTGTATCAGGTTTCCTGCTCTTACAGCCCCATATTATTCCCTTGAGATAGGGCAGCCCCAGTAACCCTGTCTCCACTCCACCTTGGTACTAGGTACTTGAGATTCGAACTCAGGTCTTCATGCTTGCTCAGCAAGCACTCTTACCTATTGAGCCAGCCCCAGCCCCCAACTCAATTGTGCAGAGGGATTTCTGGTTTTTTTTTTTTTTCCTTTTTCTTTTCCAACACTGAGGATGGAACCTCAAGCATGCAGCTCTGGACTCCTGCTCCTGTGACTTCCTGCTAATGATAAACTATAATCTTGAACCACGAGCCAAAACAAACTTCCTAAGTTGCTTTTGTCAAAGTATTTTCACAGAAATAAGCAAGTAATAGGGGCTGGAGAGATGGCTCAGTGGTTAAGAGCACTTGCTGCTCTTGCAGAGGATCTGGGTTCAGTTCCCAACACCCACAGGGTGGCACAAGATCTATAACTCCAATTTCAGGGAATCAGAAGATGAGCAGAGAGAAAGTCATATATATATATATAATATATGTATTATATATATATTAAACAAAAGAAAGAAAAGTAGCTGATACAGAAATGGAACTGAGGTCTGAAGGGAACATGTATTTAATACAGGATTTGCCCTAAAGGGGTCAGTATGAAGCCTGGAAAAGAACAGTGGTTTTGTTTGGGGGCGTGTTTTGTTTTTAAGACAGGGTCTCACTATGTCACTCTAGCTAGACCTGAAGTCTCTACCTAGACAGGCTGTCTTTGAACTCACAGAGATATATCTGCCTTTGACTCCATAGTACTGGGATTAAAGGTGTGAGCCACCATGCCCAGTAAGGAAGACGTTTGATGAATTGAGTTATAAATACTCCACCCAAAGATATGTTGGAACCAGCCTTCACTACAGAATGTGATTTTATTCGGAGACAGAATATTTTTGGGGGGCAGGGAGGGGCAGCAACTTTATTGATGGTGTTCAAGACAGTAGAACCCCCCCCCCCCCCCCCCCCCCCCCCGCTCCTTCAAAGGTCTGGGATGGAGACTGTGAGGGGAGAAACTCAGTGAGGGGAACCAGCTGGGACAGGGACTCCTCAGCAACCGAGGGCCTCTCCCCTTGTTCTTGTTGGGCGGGTGGTCCAGAGCTTCTTATTCCATGGATGCCATGGAGCCCATGATCCACCACTCTGTTGCTGTATTCACTGTCATAACCGAAAATGAGCTTTACCGAGTTGTGGAGACAGGACCATTATAAAATTAATCAGTTGGGGGCTGGAGCGATGGCTCAGTGGTTAAGAGCACTGGCTGCTCTTCCAGAGGCCCTGAGTTCAATTCCCAGCACCCACATGGCAACTCACAACTGTCTGTAACTCCAGTTCCAAGGGATCTGACACCTTCACACCAATGCACATAAAATAAAGTTAAATAATTTAAAAAAATTAATCAGTTGGACATGGTGGCTCATACCTGTAATCTCAGCACTTGGATCCCGAGGCAGGAAGATTGTCATGTGTTGGGGGCTAGCTTGAACTCTATAGTGAGCCCCAGTCCGGGCTACATAATGAGACAATGTCTTTAAAAAAAAAAAAAAAGTAAGTAAATAGAAGCTGAGCGGTGGTGGCACATGCCTTTAATTCCAGCACTCAGGAGACAGAGGCAGGAGGGTCTCTATGAGTTCCAAGCCAAGTTGGTCTACACAGCAAGTTTTAGGATAGCCAGGACAAAATAGAGACCTTGTCTCAAACAAACAAAGAGGGCCGTGGAGCTAGCTTATTTCGTCAGGGTGCTGCTGCGCATGTCTGGCAACCTGAGTACAACCCCTGGAACCCACATAAAAGTGGGAGGAGAGAACCTACTTCATCAAGCTGTCCTCTGACCTCCACATGTGTGCCATAGCATGTGTCCACATCATGTACACACATATATGCACAGTTATAACAATAAATATTTTAGTAATTTATTTTTAGTTTATGGGCGTTGTTGTTTTGCCTGCATGGATGACTGTGTGAGGGTGTTGGGCTCCCTGGAAGTGGAGCTGCAGACAGTTGTGAGCTGCCGTGAGGGTGTTGGGAATTGAACCCAGGCCCTCTGGAAGAACAGCCAGTGCTCTTAAGTGCTGAGTCATCTTTCCAGCCCAGTAAGAAATATTTTTAAGAGAAAAATGAGCATTGGGCGGTGGTGGCGCATGCCTTTAATCCCAGCATTCTAGAGGCGATCTTCGTGAGTTCAAAGCCAGCCTGGTCTACAAAGAGAGTTCCAGAACAGCTGGACTGTTACACAGAGAAACCCTGTGTTAAAATCTAGTCTAAAAAGAAGGGGTTGGACCCTGATACACACGTGAGGATGTCTTTTGACGATAAAGGCATCCTAGAGGGATGCTCCTGTAGGTTAGAAAACACTAAGAACCCCCTCCTCACCCCACTGAATCACCAGGAGCTGACACAGCCTTGGAACAGATTTCTCAAGCCTTCAGAAGTGCCACCAGACTTCTTGGTTTCAGACTCCTGGCTAACAAAATAAATGTCTGCTGCTCAAGTCACCTGGTGTGCGACGTATGCAGTGTTTGACCGCCCTGAGCCCTTTGTGGCTCCATTAGCACACAACGCAGCTCTGCGGCAGGCTTGTCTCTAACCATAACGTCTGTGCTGTCTAACATGACTCAACACGGGGCAGGGCGAGCATTGCACTAAGTTAACTGTTTTGTTTCCTGTGTCTCTGCATGTGGTTTTGTATGTAGTTGATGCATGTGTGTGCATATGGAGGTCAGGGATCAATTTTAGGTATCTTCCTCTATTGTTCATCACCAGAACAAGAGAGTGTGGTGATATTTTGTTTGTGCTTTAACAAATAAAGCTTGCCTGAAGATCAGAGTGTGGAGCTAGTCACCAGTTAGCCATAGAGGCCAGGTAGTGGTTGTGCACACCTTTAATACCAGCACTCAGGAGGCAGAGACAGACAGATCTCTGTGAGTTCAAAGCCATCCTGGGCTACACAAGATGGATTCAGTCTAAAAGAGAATCAGAGCCAGGTAGTGGTGGCTCACACCTTTAATCCCAGTTCTTGGGAGTCACACGCCTTTAATCCCATCACTAGGGAGATGGAGACAGGAAGGGACATGGTTGGGCAGAGAGAGAAATATAAGGCCGGAGGAGACGGGAGCTCACAGCAGTCCAAGGACTTGTCAAGATGGTTTACCCAATTCAGTTTGAGGATTCGTGGAGACAGGATCTTGCCCCCTTTGGTCTAAGGATTCAGTAGAGGTCAGGTCTCTCTAGTGACTGATTCCATTACTTCTCTGATCTTTCACCCTTTACCCCAGCATTTGATCCCAGGCCTTTATTATTAAGACCAATTTGATTCTGAGTCTTGTGCAAGAAGTGTTTGCAGAATCCGGGAGAAACATCAGACACATTTGGAAGCCATGGGAGGCTTTCCAGGAGAGGCGAATGTCAATCACTCAGCAGAGCACACAGTAGAAAGGCAGATCTATGCCAAGGCTCCCTATCCCCCCCAAATCCCCCCCTGATTGAGAACTTTGACTCTCTGAAGCACTTCTATCATGGAGGCTGCAAGATCTCATGGGCCCCACACCAGCATCTGGCTGGCATTAATTACTTCCGCATTTATTAAGTGCCCCATTAACCTTGGATCTGACAGCACTGCGGGCTCCCTGGGTTAAATCCACAGTAAATATTCAATTACACACGGCGCAAGCAAGCTCACATTTGGCAGGGGTTGGCTCACTTGTCCTGCAAAAGCACTTTTCCAGTTAAATAACAACAGTATCTTTCAGCTACATAGTGCTTTCCTCTTGAGGGACTTCTGCAGCAGGACCGTCTCCCAGGGGGAGGCAAAGCTGGGTCTCTACTGAGCAGTTAATGAACTCAGTGGAGGGAGCCGGCCTCTCGCCACACTCCCTGGACTCCACTCTTCCTCCAGCTCCCCCCCCCCCTAACATTACCTTGGCCTTGAAGCTTTCTTCATCCCCACACGGGACTCTCCAGGCAGCACCAACCACTGAGAGAAGCAGAACCCCAAATTCTGGCTGAGAGGAATGTTGAGCCCTCACTGCTGACCACCTCATGATGGATCTATAGCTCACGGGAACCTCCCACAAACGCTGAGGAAACTGAGGCAGAGAAGTTGAATGGTGAATTTAGCTGTAAGTTGTTGCATTCTGAATATGAGGTGGCTCCTCAAAAGGTGCTCGTGGGTGGGTTTGGGGCTGGAGAGATGGCTCAGTAGTTATAATTGCAC